GTGCCATTTTCAGTGGTCTAATTCGGGATTTTCCGAGAGGGTTCATTTTATACGACATGAAGAAAAATGTATACTGTGTATCTTAAACTCCCCAAAACGTTTACTGAAGCCGTGTGAACCCCTAACCGTTCGGCCGCTATGAGGCAAAATACGGGACGATGTACAGCGAAATTTTGTTGTTGTAAAGCCAAGATGGCGGCCGGGCTAAAAATTGGCGTCCACAGAGTTTTCCGGTACGGATTCTTCTGAAACATTTACAGACAAAGTGACATTTTGTCGACTATGATTAGGACTACTTAGTGACTTAATTCATGTATTGTTATCGCTTGGTTTCGAACGATCGTGTGCATTTTCGTTTACGATAAAGGGGGGGGGGGCGGAAAACGCTGCCGAGTTACTCTTTTGTTGTGCAAAAATATTGTCCACACATACTTTCATGAGACTTTCTGTTCTTGACATATCAAGATGCCGAAAGTAGCGACCTAGAACAGCTGCCCTTACAACAATACTTTTGAAATAAATCCAGTTGCAGGCAGACAGCTTTATGCTATGTTTATGTGTGTGCTGCATGCTGAATACTGGTATATAATAATATAATCTACAGTATATAAATGCAGTACCTACCTTTCTGGGATGGAGCTGTTGTTCATTACTAATTTTTCTATCAAATGATAAAGACTAACTGTAACTTCCTGGTGCACTGCCGAGTATTACTAGATACAAGTACTGTACATAGTAAGTAGTTATGGGTGCTTCAGTTTGGACATGATAAAATTGCCATTTCTATTTCTTTACCAGCTCTCCATGGTCTCTGTCCTTTTATATATGTGGTTCATGTAAACTGATCATAATTTCGTCTTCCTTTCTAGCCTGCGGTATGTCAAGAAGCGAGCCATATCACACATCATCAGATTCAGAGTTTGCAGCCCCACTGCCAGGGATGGAAACTCTATGCAGGATTCAGATGTCACCATCAGGAAGAATTGTCAACAGCCAAATAATTCTACAATCCCATACCCACACACGTTTTCTTGTTACATGTTAATTCAACTGAAGAATGTAATTTCAGTATGCACCCTAGTGTGATCATGACATTGAACACATAGGCATGTCCCATCTCTGATGTTTGGTGTGACAATGGCGTCCCAGTTAGAATATGTTGACCATTTAGAATAAAAATATATATCCTGCAACTTAAGGCTTAAGCCATTGCTTTGTGTAAATTTCTGACAACAGTTACAAAGAAGACAGTTTTTATTGCACAAGGATAAAGAGACTAGCATTTCAATTACAAATACAGTTCCTGCGATGTTATGCTTCAGTCAAAAAATAAAAATTCCAATGCTGAGATATGTGAATGAGAAGCTATTCATTGCACAGTGATATACAAAAAGGAACATCAGCATTTTTCACATCTTCAATCTAGATATAGATTTCATGTTTCCCTTCAGTAGATACTACTGTCCGAGGTCGCAGCTACAATGATGAATGTGTAGTCTATTTCAGAAAGAGAATGAATAGGATACTGTACATGTACATTTTGTTGTACATGTATTTGACTGTGGAGTGGTTAACCATGGTAAGGCAGGACTTGTGGAGGAATCCGTGTAACCTGACAGGGAGAATGTGAACAGTATACAAAATGTAAATACAATTCTGCATGTAGGCAATCTATTCATGTAGTCTGTTTTAACCTATGGTCTGTTCACTGTCATAGTACAGTCAAAATTCAATCGAATCTCTACACAACAATCCTGAGAGGATGTCACCCCAGCATGGTGTCCAATATAGAGAAGAATATCAATATAGGACCTAAAACGGTAGATACATGTAGTTTAGGGGCAATCCAACTGATCAAATTATCCATATCTTACATACCTTCTATAATGCAAATCACATGTACTAAGCTGGCCAACCATATCTATTTTTACGTCCAATATTAGTTAATAAGCATTCTACCCTATGATGAAAGGACAACATAGACTGCACCATCAAGTTCATTCCATCATATTTTCCAGCCACTGACATCACTGTACAATACAGCAACAAAATCATTGCATACAATACATGTAAGAGTGTTGTGCAACATTTAGATTACTAGTACATCAAATACAGAGTGGATTAATGCTCCTTTACTTTTTAGTATCAATCCATTTACCCTCAATTTACTCTTATAAAATAAAGGAAGTGTCTCTACATTGAACTAATCTACATTCATACTATATACATACATATACATTCTAGCACCAATTTATTACATATTATATCAAGAGCAAGTGCACATGGTTAGGGTTGCTAAAAGCAAACTCAGTGGTTTCCATTTGTTTTTGGATAACTTTATTATACTGTATCAGTGTATGTACCCGGTTACCATAAGCTGTTGATAACTTAATACATTTATGTATTCAACTCTGTTGGTTGCTCCAGGAAATGATTCCTTGGACCTTGACACATGCAGCATGAAGCAAAGACAGCTATTAAAGCAGTCCCCACCGTGGTGCAAGGTTCTGCAGATGTTGGAAGGACTTACAAAGGCCCTGCATACCGAGTCTGTGGGGAACGAGAAGAATCAAATGAAAATGTTCAACGGTTCCAATGCATGATTTTTTTTTACCTAAATAAAAATATCATCACACAAATTATCCTCAAGGACAAGACATCATACGGTAGTTATGAACTCTCAACACAACAAACTGCACAGTGAACAACATCTATATTCCAGCATTTCCAAGTTGAAAGCCTTAGCTTGTATCGTTCTTCGAACATCGCTCGCGGACGAAGGTAGGTACGGAAGGTATCGCCCCCTCCCCCTCACTACACAACGAAGCCCAACAAAATTTGCGTATCTAAATACAACAACTACATACACATATCATCATTATCTCAACCGAAACCCAGTAGTACGTGGGGACACAGTGGTAGAGGTTGTAAAATATGCCCCGTGGCAGTGGGATAGAGTTTTTGTAGCTTCCGACACCAAAATGGTCCAAATAAAATTTGTGACGTTCGTTCTTTTACGCTATTTATTTTGATTATTGTGCCAATTTAAATCGCTAAGCTACAACAATTACACTATGACCAAAGTCTACACAAACCTGGTGTCTTCTGGGGATAAATAGATGGCCCGTAAACGCGTTCCTGGCGATCAAAACAGCAGTAGAAGAACGCGACGATGTAGCGGCGGCCATTTTGAATGCGTATTTTGAGCTCCCGGCACGACCGCTCGGGGCGGCCTCTAACAGTTCAAATGAGCCCGCTGCGCTTCTGACCGAGAAAATTACCCATCATGCTTAGCGACCCTTCCACCACCGCCTGGCCGCTACCCTACTGAGCGCGACTGACGCTTCGCCTCTAAAATAGATCTTTTAGACTGTGCGAGCTTGTGATGCAAAACTAGAAAATGATAAGAGTGTGTAAAACCAAGGTAAAACCTGTGGTAAAACAAGTGTTGTCCCATAGAATCACCAGAGTAGTGTACATCTGATGTTTATCATGTATGCAATGTACAATCTTTATTCAACATAGTCAGGTAAGGAATGTTGTTCTTGCTGCGAAATCATTTAACGCGTTCGGTAGCGTTCCTGCTTTGGAACACATGACTGCCTGCAACGGCGCCGGATTGTGAATAAAATTTAATATGTCAAGGACAGTCTTGCAATATACTGTGCATGTTTCAGAATGCATGTTTTATTTTTCAAGTCATGCAATTTTTTTCAGACGAGTAAAATTGTATGCACGTTTTATTTTTAATCGATTATGTACGATATGCATTTTTTTAAATTTCAACCGTGTATGACTAGCCGTAAACACCGACGTCAAACAAATAAACGAAAGGATCAATATTTATGGAGCCTGGCGGTGATTCCAAACGTAATCCAGGCAAAAATCTTTGCATTACATCCATAGAGAATACAGGTCGTTTCACTACATTGTCAGTTTGCTACAGTACGTTTCGCTCCATTGTGGTAAGGTGTTTCGCTACATGGCAGAAGTGTGGCTACCCTGGCCCGAAGAGATCAGTGTCGTATCCCGCTGGCATTTGTATTTCACGCAAATTGTATTTCACGCTAACTCAAGGAGCTTAAATCACCATAACCTTCTAGGCTGAAAATGTCATGATTTCATTCTTTGACATTTATAAATATGTACGCGTATGTAGGAATACGATAATCATTTCTAATGATCTAGAGACTTCTGCCATGTATCGAAACGCCTGTAGCGAACTAACAATAGCAAAACAACCGGTTACCTCCATAGACCTATTCACCTATGTCAGCCACAAAAAATACATGACACAAGCACGATACAATGCCTCCTACCATATTATTAAATACTTCTCGTCGCTGGTGTGTTTTTTAAACACCACCCTTGTTTAATCTACATTTAGTTTTTTTTTTTTTTTTAGTTTTACAAGGTATTTAGTACCCTGGATGCCAAACGTACTAGTATTGGGCCGTTAGCCGCTTTCCTTCGGTAGCCAAGAACCCTTCGCCCGCCTCTACGGGGGAGTTGTGCCCGAGGGGTTTGTCCGGTCTTAGGCTCAACTCCCCCGGTGCGTAGCGGTAATTTAGATAGGCGGGCGAAAGGCTCTTGGCTGCCGAAGGAAAGCGCCTAACGCCCAGATATTAGTCTGGCATCCAGGGTAGGTACTTAGTGATTGAGCCGAAAATCATTGATGTATGATGCCAACACCAGGCTCATTTTTGTATTGATTAGAAAAAAAAAGTATATCTAGACTAAACGAAGGCCCAGTGCACTTACCATTTTGGCTACCTGCTTCGCTCAGACTTTGAGAAAGTATGAGAGCACAACAAACAATAATGGGAAAAATTTAAACATAGTATAAAACTATTTCAGTAAAATGCAAAATTCACAAAGAGTATGCACCAATAACTTGAATCAGATTTACTTTGACGTAATTGTCATAACAAGACCCTGATACCATCAATCTACAATGAATATCCGCTAAAAAAAATAAATAAAAAAACCACTGGGTTGAAAGTAGTCAAAAGATATAATTCACTAAACAGAAAATATGGGCACAAAATTTGTCAAGGAAACTTCAACTGGAAAACGAAACTAGTACTTTCATACAAACCTAACGCTAACTCAAGTGTACAATCACTTCCCGATGTTAGTTACTGATTATGTACATCGTTAATCGAAACCAAAACTAATGAGATAAAAATGAAAACAAAACAATTAAGCACGGCTAACCTAACCGAACAACAATGTAAGAAAGGTACCTGAAGGAAAAACACCGTACAGCATATTACGTCTAATTACAGGTAAACCAAAAATGTTTCCATCTGATTTAGTAAATTTCTCTAACATATGCCAACTAACAACAAAAAATAGAGTCAAAATGCTAACAATAACAAAACAAAATTGATCTCTGGAACAACAATCTTCTACGTAGTTGAATCGTTGGTATTTAATTCTACAACGACCAAGGAAATTGTGTAATATAAAACAAAAGTGATGCTACCAAAACAAAGGGATTATATATGCCAAAATAAACAGTAACAGGAATAAAAGATGAACAATATATGTAAAGTTATCTATACAACCCACGAGGGATTATCTACCACTCCCTTTATTGCAGGCATTAAAAGAGATAATCTATACCAACTATTTGCGATAACGTTAACTGATATTACTAGTATACTAGTGATAGTCTTCTAGTTAACTTCCTCTACTGCTATCATCACATTGAACATGTAGGCTTGCTCACCTCCATGCAGTATCTTTGGCACATCTTACACAAAAAAGGTTCTCAGAATGTGCGTCAAATTGTCTTATAATGGAACGTTAGGCGCTAAACAGGATCCTAGTCTTTACTCCTGTTGTGTTTCTCCCCTGTGAGTTTGCTTGTGCCTCTTCAGGCTGTTTTGGTATCCAAACTGCCTGCCGCACTCCTCACACTTGTAGGGTTTCTCCCCTGTGTGAGTCCGAATGTGTATCTTCAGGTCACCCAGCCGACTAAACTGTCGGCTGCACTCCTCACACCTGTAGGGTGTTTGTCCTGTGTGAATCCGCATGTGCCTCTTCAGATTACCCAGCTCACTAAACTGCCTGCTGCACTCCTCACACTTGTACGGTTTCTCACCAGTGTGAGTCCGGATGTGAGTCTTTAGATTTCCCAGCTCACTAAACTGCCCGCTGCACTGCTCACACCTGTAGGGTTTCTCACCAGTGTGAGTCCGCATGTGCCTCTTCAGATCACCCAGCTCACTGAACTGCTTGCCACACTCCTCACACCTGTAGGGTTTCTCCCCAGTGTGAGTCCGCATGTGGGTCTTAAGATGATCAAGCTGACTGAACTGCTTGCTGCACTCCACACACCTGTAGGGTTTTTTTCCTGTGTGAGTCCGCATGTGAATCTTCAGATGATCCAGTCTACTGAATTGCTTGTCACACTCCCCACAGCTGTAGAGTTTTTCTCCTGTGTGAGTCCGCAAGTGTTTCTTTAGATCACCCTGTTGACTGAATTGTCTGCTGCACCACTCACACCTGAAGGGTTTCTCACCTGTGTGAGTCCGAATGTGTATCTTCAGGTCACCCAGCCGACTAAACTGTCGGCTGCACTCCTCACACCTGTAGGGTGTTTGTCCTGTGTGAATCCGCATGTGCCTCTTCAGATTACCCAGCTCACTAAACTGCCTGCTGCACTCCTCACACTTGTACGGTTTCTCACCAGTGTGAGTCCGGATGTGAGTCTTTAGATTTCCCAGCTCACTAAACTGCCCGCTGCACTGCTCACACCTGTAGGGTTTCTCACCAGTGTGAGTCCGCATGTGCCTCTTCAGATCACCCAGCTCACTGAACTGCTTGCCACACTCCTCACACCTGTAGGGTTTCTCCCCAGTGTGAGTCCGCATGTGGGTCTTAAGATGATCAAGCTGACTGAACTGCTTGCTGCACTCCTCACACCTGTAGGGTTTTTTTCCTGTGTGAGTCCGCATGTGAGTCTTCAGATGATCCAGTCTACTGAATTGCTTGTCACACTCCCCACAGCTGTAGAGTTTTTCTCCTGTGTGAGTCCGCAAGTGTTTCTTTAGATCACCCTGTTGACTGAATTGTCTGCTGCACCACTCACACCTGAAGGGTTTCTCACCTGTGTGAGTCCGCACGTGTCTCTCAAGATGACTTAGACAACTGAACTGCTTGGCACACTCCTCACACCTGAACACTTTCACACCTTTGTCTTGCCTCCCGGTTTCCTCTCCAGACTCCGCACAGCTTTCTCCTTGCCAGGGGGAAACGGTATAGGCAGAACCCCCTGCTGATCCTCCTTGCCAGGTGGAAACGGTGTTAGCAGAACCCCCTGCTGATCCTCTCACGACGTCCTCCAAACTTTCTTTGCTGCCTGTTGTTGCCATGTCAACGAGAGCTGGACCAACCTCTGTAAAAAAATGAAAGAAGCGACCTATAAAACATGCAGAAATATGTATAGTTGAGTAGTACTACGTATAGTTTAGTAGTCTATGCATAGTTTAGTAGTACTATGTATAGTCGAGTTATACAGGACAGGTAAACAAATGCTCATTGTCTGTAAAAGTTACTAAAGCATTTTACTAGCAGAACTGAAACCACACTGTACTGAGACACCGCAATTAAAAGACGGGTAAAAAGTGAGCTGTCCTTCTGTGTTGTTATGGGTCTTTGAGAGTATAACGTTGTAACAGTTAGTGAACTGTCCCTTGGCCTTCATGCTTGTCATGCAATGGTCTGGGCTTCGGCTTATTTTTGACGTGTTTGTAGGCGTTTTTGCCATCCATACTCCAGTTGCGTATGGTTACTCAACTGCCAATAATACCGTGTGCCAATTTAATGTATAGCAAATGTTTTTCTGTGTTTCGCTGCGAGATTTAAAGTTGTTCACCCTCCCCCCATCATTAGTGAACCGGCCCGATGTTTTCACATTCCGGTCTGGCGTCAGGGCGGGATGAAATCCAGATGTGAGAATCAGGCGGGACTCGTGTAGGGGTTTACCGTATACTCATAACTTAGTCTTAGATTAACGCTTTCCTCATTACCAACACAAGAATCCCTTTATAACAGTGAATTTGCTTATTTGGTACGTAAAATTGTACACTAGATTGCGAGGATATAATTTTTTGTTGATTTTTGATGCGACACGCAACATAATCTCGTTACCCCCTACCGATCCTCACACTGTTTACGTTATCAACTTCTAGGAGGCAGCTCCTTACTTGTATAATAAACAATAATTTGAG